CAATGAAATCTAGATGTATGACAGCCCCAAGTATAATTCATATAGGGTTATTAAGGAATAAATATTCCTTAGTATCCTCCTATGTAAATACTATTACTCTAAGATAAGGATGCCTAAGTTACACAAGTCCTAAGCAAGCAACAGAGGTAGGCATGTAGAAGGAAGATGAAAAACAAGAACAGCAATGCGGGCAAATAAAAGCTTGTCTAAGCATATGTAGGTTCTTGCTGAATTGTTTTGGAATAAGAAAGTCCAAGTGTGCAGGGCTTCAGGAATAAAAGCTCCTTGCCCCTATTTATTGTAGCCCAGGGTCAGAGAGGTTCTGAGGATGCTCTAACTGTATGTGCCCATTCATCCCCAACAGTCTGAGTAATAAAACAAGGAGGTAATGCAAGAAGAGGTGACAGAAAGAGCAGCAGAAGTAAAAAAGAAAAACTATGAAATCTCCCCAGTGAGGTAAGTAAATCTAGTATGTAACAACTAAGACCTCTGTCCTCTCTGTGCACTTTATTTCTCATTGCTTAAAAATTCTATGAATTTTCCTTTCTCTGTCACTTGCATGGTACAACAAGAAATGCTATGCTGGAAAGGCTGAACCTGCATGCACCTCAAAGTTATTTTTGTCACACTTAAAGCTGCTATGGAAGGTTTGAAGTGAGACTATTAATGTGCCACTTTTTAACCGTGTTTTGGATTTTTTGGTTTTTTTAACACATGGAATAGGCACTTGTCGTACAAAACAACCTTTTGACGTGCAAAGTTGTAAATCCTTTGACTTAATACAAGAAATCAAAAAATCCAAGGAAAATACACCCACTCTATAAGGAGCTCCACTATTGTTTAGAATTAATATAGTCCAGTCATAGGTGCTTTTTTCCCCCGACAGGAACAAAGATTTTCCTAGAACCAACCTCCTTCCTATGACAGCATCATGCCAGAATCAACAGCATCTCCATGAAAAAATAAAAGGTGGGCAAAAGTACAGAAGAAACAAAGGGAAAACGTTGTTCTCTGGCAGTATAAAGTAAACGCCTACAATGAAAGTTAACAGGATTAAAGGTAAAACACACATATGGGACTGAAAGACTTTTTGCATAGGTGGAAGAATACAAAACCCCTTTCTTTCAGAACAACGTACTCAGTAACCTGTGTTGAAGTTGTTGGCTCCATAGGAAAGGGCTCACATCTGAAATATCATTCTAGGTGATCTCAGGAGAGGACAAGTGCTCAACTAGCACAGACACTTACTAAGTGCTCCTGGTAGGGAACCAGGCAGTACCTTTTAGGCGGGACGCTAATTTAATACCGTGACATGGCAAGGCTGAGCCCATCTAAAAGCCACCCAGGACCGCAGAGCAGAGTCCCAGCCCAGCCAAGGCCACACAGCTCACTCCTTACAGCTCTGTTCCCTGCTCGTGCCCTGGTGCTACCTCTGGATTCCTGTCTGACAGCACAGATACACCAGCACAGCTCTCCGACTCAAGAGAAAACTATTCACTTCTCGGTCAGGTTAGTTCTCTCATGGATTAACAAATGAGATCGGTTCCCTTCACAGTTGCACAAACACCAATGCAAGGGAGGAGGAAGGGAGCCCCTTTCAGCAGCAGTGAGCCTGAGTATCTCATGTAACTGCACCCTCAGACAAAGTTTCAACTCGTTCCTTCTGCACACTGTTCTGCGGTCACCATTTCTCCCTGCATCAAAGTGACATAAAATGCTTAAAAAGCTTCATGTAAAGTCATCATTAAGTCTTAGGCAGGTAAGCGGCACGTAATTCCAAACAAGCCTATCTGGCTCATTTTGAAACTTCAGCAAAGACTTTACGAGATGACCATACATCGACACCTGTGAAAAGCTGAGGGGCGTACAGCAAAGAACGTGTTCGGCCTCTCTGTTCAGTCAATCTTGGACCTTGTCACAGCTGTTATTTCAGCATGTACTGAATGCAGGTTAAAACAAGAAAGTTAAAAAAAGAAAAAAGAAAAGACAACTGACAAAAACTAGCAAGTCTGTGCAAGGTATCTGTGCTACACCATCGAGTTCCTGTGTGTTATTTTGTGTGTAAAAATGTTTTAGATTTAAAATCTTACCAAACTTTGTTATAGTTTATAATGACCTACCTTTTTTATATGTTTATAAAGTTTATTTAATCCTTCTGTGCCTTTTCTTTTAATAGCAAATGTTCTAAATATATTCACAGTTTATGAGCTTTACCTTTCAACATTTGAAATACTACGCCACAGGGAACTTTTTGTAGGAAATATGTTTAACAACAAACATTGTTTTTACCTCTCAAAACAGTTTCATTTGATGAAAGAAAATGTTCTGTGCTTTTCTAAAACACACTGTCTGCACTTCTAGAATTTCTTAGCTAAGCAAAAATCCATTACAATTTAAAATTGAACCTTAACTAAAGCACAATTATCATACAGTTGTTACAATAAGCATTAGCTTGACAGCTATGCAAGAATAGTTAAAAACAATAAGTTAAAAAATTATTATAAACATTTATCATAAAAGTGTAAGTCTCCCACTTACATAACTTTGCATATGAACTATCACTGTAGCTAACTCACTATTTTAGATTAGCTGCTATAAATACAGGCTGCACTAACCAAATGTCTGTGTTACCTATTGTAAAGAACCATCTTGAATTAGATTATATAAAACCCCGTATGTTTGGGTAGGGCAGAGACGGACAAAGACTACTGGGCACAAAGAAACATCAGAGGCCACATCAGTTGCCATAAAATTAAAATTTAGAACAACAACAAAATAATTGTGACTGACATCTGATCACATAGAAGATTTGAATTTCAGAGCTGTGGTAAAAACCAAACAAGAACAGCAAGATCCATCCACTAGTAAGAAATCCTTCTCTGAATGAAACCCTAGAAGTACCCCCAAGTCAGACATATACTCAACCGGAAACCTCATCCGTTATCCATCTCTCTTTCCAAGCAATTACAGCAGTCTCTCAAACCATTACACATTCACCGGTTTTCTGAAGACCATGTTTTTCTCAATCAAGTAGCAAGCAAACACGACACACGTTATTTGCTATTCAATACAGGACTAGCTTGAGACTATGCCACAAAATGAGAGTTTCAGCACAGAATTGAGGGTTTCTAACAGCTACAGAAAAAGGTCAAAAGTGGTAGTGTGCCCATAGAACCATCAGAAATTCCTTCAAGACGCTGACAGCCTATGTAAGAGGTGCGGGGGGTGGGAAGGGGAACACGGAAGACAGGAGCAGCCCTTTCGGCCCCCCGTTACAGGGCTGCCATGGTTGCACTGTCCAAGTACATTCATCAGTGGGAGCGATCTCTGCCCAGTTAACACAGTGATTCAGGTGATTTCCATCAGTTCCTAACCCTGTTTCACTATCTTCTCCTGATCCATGGGAAAAGTTATGTCACAGCAGGCCTGGTAGCAATGTCCTTATAATACTTCACCACATATTTCCTTTCAGTTGATAGGAATAGTGCCATTGCACAGACAAAACAGTGCCTGCAAGAAATAAGGAGCAGGATAAAAACCAGATGGCTGAAGTTAAGCACAGGAAGGCAGGAGCAACGCTTGTAGGGAGGAGAAATCATTTTGATGAGCTGAGACTGTGAACATGGCTCTCCGCACAAAGGGAACATAGCCTGCCATGACACAGCCTGCACAGCATAAATAGGAAATTAAATCTGAATGAAATATTGTTATCTGTATCACCTAAAGGCTGGATTCTTTTCAGGCAAGCACCAGATGAACATGACACACAGGGTTTGTTTTTTTTTTTTAACATCAGGCTAATGCAGCTTCAGCTGTTTAGATGACTACCTGTCAACCACAAACAAAAACACCATTTTGAAAAATGTGATCTGTAACACAAGTTGAGAACATTGACAGCATATTCCCTTACAGTTCATCTACCCCTTCGCGATTTGCTTCCAGCTGATACAAGCCTTGGCAGTGATAGGCAGCACTCTTACATCCCAATTCCCCAGCAACTGGCTCCATCCATACAAAGGCAAATATAGAGGAACCAGAAACACCTATGCAAGCCCAGACTGTATTTAACATTGTGTCGAACATGGTTCAAATCTTTAAATCTTGCTGAAGACAGGGTATTTTAATTCTTACTAAAATGACGTGAACTCTTAAGAACCCAGTACAGGAGAACTTCAAGCACAAAATATGATTCACAGTATTTTCCCTGCCCTTGCTATGGTTATAAAAAAAAAGAAGTTAAAATGTTTCAGTCAACACATTTAAAATGTATCATTCATCACCATCTACACAGCCTCCAGATTAAACTGTTAAGAACTGAAAGCATGGTCTTCTTAACATTGCTTCCTGAAGTATAGCATAAATACTGTCATATCAAGAATGGATTCAGTAATACTAATTTGATTTTTTTGATTAACAGTTTGATTGGTAAAGGTAGCGGCACTGATCCAATGAGCTTCTGCACAGTACTTGCCTTGGGACTGTTCTCCACGCCATTTCAATTCCCAAAATATACAATATTGCATTAATATAGCAGCTATTAAAAAGATTAAAGTTATGCTTTGAAACTAGGGGATTTTTTTTTTTAATATAGAAAATAATCATCAAGCAGTTGTGTTTCTTCTAAGATCCCAGAGGGATCCATTCTTGCTCCTGCACTACATATTCTTAAATGACCCGGAAAATCCAAACCTTCCTCATGGAATAGATTGCATGATCCTCAATAGATGGCGAGAACTGGTGAAAGCAATAATAGAAAGGGCATGTCACTGACTTCCACTGAAACCAACATAGCAACATGACCAAAAGTACTTCAACAATTAGGAAGAAAGATTAGAAAGAACAGTAGGAGACCTTACTTTGCCATATAAGCAACTCTTCAGAGAACCTGGCTAAACATAGCTTCATGAGGCAAGGTTTTGGCAAAAAAAAAACTAGCCATCCTTGCAATTCTCTGTGAAACAAGGCATCTAGAGCCTCACACCCCAGACAGGTCCCATTACCTTCATTCTTAACATTGACTTAATTGCTTCTAAAACGCAATGTCCACAGTTCAGGAAGGGTGACAATAAATTGGAGGGGATCCACGAGAAAACTGAGAGAATAACTGTAGAAGTTAGGGGGAAAAAAAAAAGAAAAGAAAGCCTCATAAGCTTCAAAATATGACTTATTTTTCTTAGTAAAAAGAACATAAAGCAAGAAATTAATCAAAATTCGTGAGAATTCATACTCGGGAAAACCTGAGTTATAATGGAATTTTCAGTGACAATGAGGCTATTTGCAAGATTCAGTGGCTAGAAACTGAAGGTAGCCCTCTTCAGATCAGAAATAAGAAATAAAATACAATCAGGCACTTGTATGCTTTACCAAGAATTCTGTTGAATTTTGCTTCATTGGAAATTTTTAACTGCACCTTCTAAAATGTAAGCTCTAGCTTCAAACACAGATTTGGGAAAAAAAAAAAAAAAAAGTCCAATGGCCAGCATTATGAAGAGGTCAAACTAGATGATTGCAACAGTCCTCCTGACTTGATAATCTATTAATCTTATCAGACCGATCAGAATACACGCCTGACCACTTTCAGGACCGAATGCAAAGTCATTCATAGGCGTACCTATTTTGACGGTATATTTTTAGCCTGAGACTATCTTTTACCTTTAAACGTCGTCCAGATTGGAACTGCAGATATATCAAGCTAGAGACATAAAAGGCAGGCGATAGCAAAAGGCTCATCCCCTACAAAATACTCATTTTAGTTGGCAGTTTACACAATCAAAAAGCAGTCCGAAGCCAGTAAGATATCCTGTATTTTTTCCGCGCTTCCCGGAACTTTACAGAACTCTCCGTGGGACTGAATCGCTCCAGACAAGTTTTAGCTGAGAGGAGGCTCCGCACGCCCGAGAGCAGCGCTTTAGAGGAAGGAGGTTAACCAGCCTTAGCGGAGCAAAAAACAACGGCGCGGAGAAATAAAGGA